ACTTCTTGTTACTCTTTTCTAGAGTTTCCTGTAAATGTAATATTTTGTCTAATGTGTCTGGCTTCTTTTATTTAGCATAATGCTTTTGAAATTCATCCGTGTTTCATGTGTCAGTAGTTCCTCCCTTTATTGCTGAGTAGTAATCTGTTGTATGGATTATGTACACAGTTGTTTATCCGTTCACCAGATGATGGGCCTTGGGTTGTTTCTAGTTTATGACTGTTATGAATAAAGCTTCTCTGAATATTAGAGTACAGGTCTTTGTGTGAACATATGTTTTCATTTATCTTTGCTACATGTAAGAGTGGGATTGTTAGGTCATATGGTAAGTGTATATTTAACTTTATAAGAAACTGCCAAACTATTTTCCAAAGTGTCTGTGTCTTTTTTTTTTTTTTTTTTTTAAAGGGGACCGGTAAGGGGATCTTAACCCTTGACTTAGTGTTATCAGCCACGTTCTCCCACGTGAGCCAACCGGCCATCCCTATATAGGTCCAAACCTGTGGCCTTGGTGTTATCAGCACCACACTCTCCCAAGTGAGCCACAGGCTGGCCCTGTCTGTGTCATTTTGATTCCCTCCAGCAATGTATTGCAGATCCAGTTGCTCCACATCTTGTTAATATTTGATATCATCACTCTTAATTTTAGCCAATAATGAGATTTTAAGGCAGACAAATAGTAAGGGTGAACAAAATGGGAATGTCAAGTGGAAGAAGCTAATTTGGAGACAATTGACAGTGAAGACACTGATTTCAGTTTTGGTATGAGTGTAAGATGTGTCTGACTAAAAAATGACCCCATAGGTTCTATATCTTCTCTTATAAATTTTTTTTTTTTTCCGTGCCCGGCAACGGATCGCAACCCTCAGTGTCGCGCCCGTACCGGGCCGGCAACGGGACCACAACCCTCGGCGTTGCTCCCGCGCCTCGCTCAGCCAGTGAGCGGCCAGTCTGTATGTGGGATCCGAACCCTTGGCGGGAGCACCGCCACGCTTCCAAAGCGGCGCACTGTAGCAGTGCGCCACCGGGCCGGCCCGTCTCCTATAAAATTTTTAATAGAATGACCACTTTGGAGTCTGACAGTCATGAGTTTGAAGATTGGCTCTACCACTTTTTTTGTGGCCTTAGACAAGTTACATGACCTTTTTAAACTTTAATTTTACCCATTTGTCAAATATGAAATAATAGATGGTTGAACTTAGTATAGGAGCTAATACAAAGTTAATACTTAGTGAATGGTGACTGTCATCATCACCATCATCATGCTTGTCACTTAGGTATATATTTTATGCTACTAGTAATGTGTGACTTTCTAGCAAATCTCTGCATTTTATTCTCTCTAACTGATCTCCTCCCTGACTGTATTCATTCCCCATGCAATAGCCGGAGTGATTTTGTTGAACACTAATCTTGTCGGGTTAGAAGATTTGTAATCCCTTTTCAGATCCCTTCAGTAGCTTCCTCAAGTGCTTACCTCCACCTGTCTTTGTCTGAGGATGAATGTCTTAGGAAAGCCTTGCTTAGGTGTTCTGTTAAAAAGGTCTCCATACAATCTGTATTTTTCCTTTCTACCACTTACAACTACTGTAGTTACTTGATTAATCCTCCTCCTCCTCCACAGTTCTGTAAAGTCCATGAGGGCTGGTACATGATAGGTACTCAGTAAATTTGTTGAGTGCATTATCTTGTTTTAAGTTCCTTGAGGACAAGGACTTTTCATACTTAAATTCTTTCTGCAATTTTAACATATTGCTTTTTATAGCGTAAGTTCTTAATAGATACTTTTGAATTTAAATAATGGTTTGAAATAAGCTACATAACTTACAGAATTACTAGGTCAAATAAGTAGAATTACTGGGTCAAATAAGATGAAGAGTTTTAAAAATTATTTTAACATATTACCATTATGACAGTAATACTTCATAGAAAATTTGGAAAACTGAGGAAAGGCAAAAGAAGAAAATGTAAGAGCATTGCACAGTCTCTTGGCAAATGCTTTTGTATTGCTCTCCAAAAAGGTTTTATTGGTGTACTCTTATCAGCAATGTTTGAGCAGTCTTATTTCTTCTCCATCTTGCCAGATTTAAACGTTTGTAATTTGGTAGATGAAATTGGTATCTTATTTTATTTCCATTTATTTGATTTATTAATCATTCTTCATTGAGTTGTAATGCTGCCTTTTTCATATTAAATTCTTATATACTAGGGTAGGTTTCTGAACAACACTGTTCATTAATCTGTTTATTCTTATATACCTGCTATCTATTTTAACTGCCATAACTTTAAACATAATTAATATGTGACAGGGCTAGTCCTCATTAATTTTATCTGTGTGTTTTTATATAGTACTTAGATCTTTCTCTCTTTTTAGGGTAAAACTACCTCTCATGTACTTAACTGCTTGTGCATGCTTTTTCTTTATGGAATAACTTCTGTCCTAGAAATATGTCTTTCTTTCCCATGACTTCTGATTCTTGACATAATTTTATAACCTATTATAAAGGTCCCAGTTTGCAGATATGGGGAAAATAAGGACAACTTAGTACGTATGTTGTGTCTAAGCACACATGTATGTTGTGTGGGTATATATGTATGTATGCACGTATACTTTTAAGATTGCCAACTGGTATTTCTTGAGAATAATTGTCATTCTGAGATTTTGCCCTCAGTGGGGATAGGGAGTAATTGGGTAAGGGACACAAAAAGTAATTATGATTTGTAATGATGAACATGCTAGTAATACTGATTTGATCATCACACACTGTACACAAATACTGATAGTCAACTCCTTACCCCATAATATGTATTAAAAAAATTGTCTGACTTTTAACATATTCATGGGATGCTTTATATGTGGTACTGCATTTAGAAACCAAATTTAGATTTTAACAATGTTTTTGTTAGCATTTTTTTTTTTTGGTAAAAATTGGAATACGCACATACCAAGTCATTTAGCCCTGCCTAAGCATCCATTGTAATTAAAATATTTGAAAAATGCAAAAAAAAAAAAATGAAAAAAGTCTTAAAGACTGAGCTACCATACTTGATTTAGTAGTGCCACAGTATTAGGCTTCCTGATCGTTTAAACTACTTATACCAAGCTTATACATAACCTTCAGAATACACGTAACGTTTTATGCCTGAGATATGAGTTCTTTATGCTGTAATCAGCCTAAGTGGAAAGGCTCTGTAAAGTATGACCTGAATAATTGGATCTACATTAACTGGCTTGTTTTGTTTTGTTGTTGTTTTACTTTTTAAAAACTTTCTATTTAAAAAGAATTATTGACTCACAAGAAGTTGCAAATATAGTACATAGAAGTCCCTTGTGCCCATCACAAAGCTTCTCTCAGTGGTACTATCTTACATAACTATAATAATCAAAAGTAGGAAATTGACGTTGGCACAATGTGATTAACTTGATGACACACCTTATTTAAATTTCACTAGTTTTTGTGTGCAGTCATTTTTCACTTTCTTTTATGTCTACGTGTATAATTCTGTGACATTTAAAAAATAACTTTAATAGTTGTGAATTTACAGAAAAGTTGCAAAGACAATACAGAGAGTTCCCATACGGACCTCACTCACTCTCCACTATTGTTAATATGTTATGTTCATACAATACGTTTGTTACAACTAAGGAACCAACATTGATACATTACTATGAATTAAATTGCATAGTTTAGTTGGATTTACTAGTTTCCCTTAATGTCCTTTTTCAGTTCCTGAATCCTATCCAGGATACCACGTTAAGTTTAGTCATTATGTTTCCTTAGGCTCATCTAGACTGCAACAGTTAGATTTTTTTGTGTTTTTCGTAATCTTGACAGCTTTGAAGAGCACTGGTCACTTATTTTGTAGACTGTTCCTCAATTTGGATTTGATGTTCTTTTCATGGTTAGACTGGGGTTATAGACTTTCGAGAGGAAAACTACAGAGGTAAAGTGCAGTTTTTATCACATCATTCATGCTACCAACATGGCTTAGTCACAGTTGATGTTGACTGTGATCACCTCGCTGAGGTGACATTGGCCAAGTTTTCCACTAATAAGTTACTCCCCTGCCGCCCCATACTCTACTCTGTGGAAGCAAGGTAAGCACAACTTACACTCAAGGTCTGGGGGGACTTAACCTACTGGAGGTGGGGATTATCTACAAAAATTATTGGAATTCTTCTAACAGGTCTTTTTTTAACTTTATGGAAACAGCATGAGTACTGAATCAGTCTAACGTGTCTGTTCTTTGCAGGGTGGGAAACCCCGTAAACACCGGAAGGATCGGCTACAAGATTTAATTGATATAGGCTTTGGCTATGATGAGACAGATCCATTTATTGATAACTCAGAGGCTGTGAGTAATGTATCTTTAATATAGCAGCAAATTCTTTGTTAGTTTGGGATAGTAGAAGTCAAGGGTAAAGTAACTTAAATAGTTCAGTGAGTGTATTCATTTGTGCTTAGAGATTTTTTTGCTGTTTTTTTAAAAAAAGAATAATGCAAATTAAAAATTTTATGATGTTTGGTTGGTCCGAGTTGAGTCATTATGACATTATTATACTAGACCAGAATTCGGCAAACTTTTCTATAAAGGGCCACATAGTAAACATTATAGACTTTGTGAGCCATACGGTTTCTGTCACAACTACTTGGCTCTGCTGTTGTAGCATGAGAGCAGTCATAGGCGATACATAAATGAATGAATGTGGCTGTGTTCCTGTGAAACGTTATGGGCTCTGAAACTTAAATTTCATGTAATTTTCAGGTGTTGTGAAATATTAATCTTTTGATTTAAATGATTCTTAGATTACAGGCTGTGTAAAAACAAACTGACAGGCTGGATTTGGCTGGCAGATCGTGTTTTGCTGACTCTGTACTAAATCATTATTTTCAATGTGCTGTGCTCCCTTCCAGCTCTTGAAAGAATCTCTTGAGGTTCTTTAATAGTTGCTCATTCTCAGACATGTGTAATTAGCATTGATTCCATCATCACCCGTTGCCCAAACTGAGAACAAAAATAAGTTTCAAAAAAGAAAAAGTTGTAACCCAGTGCTGAAAACCATTACTTTAAATTAATGGTTCTCAATCAGAGATGAAAAATTTTTGTACACTTGTCTTACCTCACACTTATTAAATTAGAATTGCTAGAGGTGAGGCCTAAAGAAGAGATTTTTTTTGTTGTTTGGGGATTTTGGTTTTATTTTTGGTGTTTTCTTTTCTTTTTTTAATTATAAAATCAGTATATGCTTATGGTAAAACAACAGTAAAATGCAAGATGGTTATGAAGTAAAAGGTAAAGTACCCAAAGGTCCCACTCCCAAGAGATAAACACTGTTAAGCTTCTTGTGTAGTTGTCCAGAAATTTCCATGTATAGTAAGAATACAACCTGTATATCCTTTTAAAAAAATTAATGCAAATGAGATCATAGTATGATTCATATTTTAATCCTTGCTTCTCTATTAAAATACATTATATTTTAATGATGTTTACATGTTAGTACATAGGTATATTCCTTGTAATGGCTGTTAGGGAATATATCTAAGTTGCATGACTTTTTTAACTAATCCTCCATTGATGTACATCTAAATTGTTTCCAATGTTACATGCTAATGAATAAGTAATTGAGCATCTGTGTACATTTATCTACTTAAGTGAATGTGTGTGCAGGGTGTTTATGAAGTGCAAATATATGTGTAGGATAAATTTCTAGCAGTGGAATTTATTGGTCACAGGATATTTGCAGCTTGAATTTGTATTGATATTCCCAAACTTGGGCAGGTGTCTTATGAAATGACTTCCAAGATGAGAACCAGATGATCTTGAAGATTGGTGCTACTAGGTTGAAGTTCATGTGGTTTATTGGTCACAGGATATTTGCAGCTTGAATTTGTATTGATATTCCCAAACTTGGGCAGGTCTCTTATGAAATGACTTCCAAGATGAGAACCAGATGATCTTGAAGATTGGTGCTACTAGGTTGAAGTTCATGTGGCAGACATCTTTAAAATGTACTTAATTTTTTTGTTGCTGCCATGCCTTACTACAGTGGTGGTATATTGAATGCCAGCCTTTATCACCAGTCTGTTTTGATCAAGCCCTGTGGTTTTTTACCTGGAATCCTCTTTCTCTTACAAAAGGAAGAGGAATTTAGGAGAATATTTAAGAACTATAACAGTTCGTTGATCACAGCAAGTGAATGAGGATATACCATGTTTTGGGGTAGGTAAGGTATATGTTCTTTCATTCTTGTCAGTGTACTAGAGTAATCTAAACCCTGGGATTATTATATTCTCTGTAGTGTGCAGTAATTACTTAAGATATACAGAAAGTGACACTAAGGTGACTATTACATTACCCACAAACTAGTATGTCTTTTTTCTGTTGCTACAGTGCTTGGTTGTATAGATGACAAGAAAGCATATACTAGTAAGAGAGTGATAGGACTTATAGCATGAGGCATACTAAATATCCTGTCATACACCTAAATTATTTCTTGAGTCCTAACATAAACTGGTTTACCATACCAGGCATCTTGGTCTGTAGAAGTAACATGCTGACAATGCCCTTTGGAGTAGAAAGGGCCTTCTATTACCAAAAAGGTTGTCAACCAGTAGATTAGAATATGGAATGTTTTCAAGAGACTTGACCTTGATTTGGAACTCAAGGCAGAAGTCCTAGATTCTAGGCCCAACTCAGTTTCTAGTTCCCCATGTGACCAAGTCTTTTAGCATCACTCAGTTTTCTCTGCTATGACTTGCTTACCCTACAGAATTATTATGAGGCTCAAATAAGATAATGAATATAAACATGCTTGAAGAGCATAAAGCATTAGTAGTAGCGTTAACATTATATGTAGATTTTGAATTCTGAATAACCCAGGAAGGTACACAGCCATATATAAAAGGGCATTGCATGTACTCATGCTACATAAATAGTGTTTTTTGGGTTTTTTTAAATGAATAAGCTCTTTTTTAGAGCAGTTTTAGGTTTACAGCAAAATTGAGCAGAAAGTACAGAAAGTTTCCGTATACACTCTGTCCCCACACACACATAACTTCCCCTGCTGTTGACCAATCCTTTTTTGCAATTGGTGAACCTACATTGATACAACATTGTCACCAAAGTCCATCGTTTACATTAGGGTTCACTCCAGGTGTTGTACATTCTGTGGGTTTGGACAAATGCATAATGACATATATCCACCATTGTAGCATCAAGCAGAACAGTTTCACTTCCCTAAAAATCCTCCTTGCTTTGCCTATTCATGCCTACCTCCCTCCTAACCCCTGGCAACCACTTATTCTAGCTGACTTCATAGTTTTGCCTTTTCCAGAATGTCTTATAGTTGAAATCATATAGTATGTAGCCTTTCATAAATAGCTTTTTTTTTTTTTTTTTGAGACCGGCCGCACTGCGATCAGCCAGTGAGCACTGTGAGCACACCGGCCATCCCTTTATAGGATCCGAACCCACAGCGGGAGCGCTGCTGCGCTCCCAGCGCCGCATTCTCCTGAGTGCGCCATGGGCTTGGCCCATAAATAGCATTTTTAATAGCTTCTTTTGTAGCATTCAGAACATTTGAGTGAAGTGTTTATCAAACTGACTTTTGGAACCATAATTGGATTATACATCAATTTAGAGGGTGTGACCAGTATTTTTTTAAAAAATGAAATTGAATAGAATAGGACCTATCATAATACATAACTAGCAGATTATGTAATTTTTATGTGTGTGTGCTGGGTTTTGATGTGTACTTGGGTTGTGGTGAAGAAAATTTGAAAGCTACTTCTTTAATAAATAAGGATGAATTTGTATGTAAAAGTTGTTGAGTTATACAATTAGTTACTGACATTTATGGGACAAGGTAGGTCCCTGTTTTATAAGAGAAAATTGAACTAAAATATAGGTCGTTTGACTTGCAAAGTAACTTAGTATCATTGCCTTTAACATATTACTGGTTCTTTTTATGAGATAATTCAGATATAAAACAATTATGATCCCAACCATATGATTCCTTGTTCTTCTCATTGTGTTGTAAGTTTTCAGTGCTGTATATTATTTGATAGAGTGAAATCAATTTTCAGAATCATGTACTACTTATTACTAAAAATACCTGAAAATAAATGCTTTTGAAGATTATTTTTAGTCTCACCTTTGTACTGCCAGATTGTAAAAGGACTGAAAAAAAATGTTTTTATTTATTACCAATAAATAATAATACCAGGCATGAATAACAGTTTTATTTAGGTTGTCCCTTTTAAATTTTACTAGAACTTTGTGAAGTAAGTAATATTGTCCCTGTTTTACAACCCCCCAAAAATCAGTGTTAAGTGATTTGCCCTGGGTCACAATAGCTAGTTATTGGTGAAGGATCTAAATCCAGGCCTTCTGATTCTTAAATTCAGAGTCCATTGCCTTTTAACACATTCTACTTAAATGGCTAAATTAAATATTAAATATTCATAAAGAATTTGTTCTCCTGAAGAATGTTCTGAAGCTGCTTGAAGTAGTAGTGGATGGGTCGGAAGTCAACCAGTGACTTTGCCATAAACTTACAAAATTGCTTTGGGGTAAGGTACTTACCTGGTTTTCACTTACAAAATATGAATAATTGCCTTCCTTGCCTCACAAGAGTATCATGAGGATCAAATGAAATAATTTGTATGAGGAAGCATTGAAAACTATAAAGCGTGGTATGAGTGTATGTATGCAAAGTGTACAGGTGTATTTATTTTATCACAATTACACGTTTTCAAAATAATTACTAAAAAGTCTTTTTCACTTTTAATTCTTCACTCCTCACATCACTCCTTTGCTTGCAGATAGTACCAGCCTTTTTCTGTGAGATCCTATCTGCAGATCTTTATAGAAGTGTATCAAGTAGCACAACAAGAAAATCATCCATTTCTTTCTCTTTTTTCTTCACTCATTTTTCATTTCTTTTTAATTCAGTATAATTCAACTGGATGCCCTTTCTTTTTCCATTCTCTATATAATTTAAAAGAATACAGGTAAAAATCACAACTTTTGTACTTAGCCTTAATATTTTACAGTCACTGGTAGGAAATGTATATTCCTTGCCCATGGCAAAGAATTTTCCTTAAAAATCTGACTTTCTTAAAGATTAGTCGTATAATATGAGGAACCCCAGAGCTCTGGGGACCCCAGGTGGCAGGTGATTTTCTCCTATTAGATAAGTAGTTCCTTTTTTCTTTCCCACTGGAACAATTTCGTTTGGTTAAGATTGGCCTTCATTTCAAGTTGGCTTTTTGTTCATGTTCATCCGGTGAGATAATGATAAACCTTAAAATCTAGACTTTGAGGACATAAGTTTGATTTAGACAATTTGAGTCCTTTGTTCAAAGCAAAGTGCCTTGTTCATTCCAGACCCTCAAGTATATGCTTAATGAACTGGGCAGTTATTTTTCTGCTTCTCGTTAAAACATATGTGCTATTTTTTAAACGTTTTTTAATTTTCTTTACTTAAAAGCATAGAGGTAAGACGGAAAAAAATAAGCATGTTATTCTTTATAATCTCCTTGAGAATAAAATTACATACTGATATGGTAGGAAATGAAATTTACTCTTTTTCTGGATGTTTAGTCATCTGTTTTAACTTGTTTCAGTTTCTCATCAGAACCATTTGTCATTAAGAATAGCAGCACTGGGGAGAAAAAAAAAAGGAATAACAGCAGTGATCTTTAAATTTTTCTTAGCAGGTGATGTATTTAGATTTTACTTCATTATTCCAGAAGTTCCTTTTCCTTTTTTTGGCAGCTGTCTGGTAAAGAGATTGAACCCTGGAGCTTGGTGTTAATCAGCACCACACTAAAATCAACTGAGCTAACTGGCCAGCTTCTAGAAGTTCCTTTTCTTTTTTTTTTTTTTTTTAAATAGTAGCTTTATTTTGACTTTTTTTTGTTTGTTTGTTTGTTTGTCTAGAAGTTCCTTTTCTGAATATACCAAATGACCAGAGCTAATTTTTATTCCAGATATTAACTTTTTCTAAATTTATTCCACAAACATCCTCATTGTAGTCAGTTTTGCAGTTAGGATTTAAGGAAGATGTTGCCATGGCATAAAAATTTCTTTGACATATTTATAGAATTAAAGACGATAGAATATATCTGAAACTTTTTTTTTAAATCTAGTATGATGAATTAGTTCCTGCTTCTCTAACAACAAAATATGGAGGCTTTTATATCAACACTGGCACTCTACAGTTTCGCCAAGCTTCAGATACTGAAGAAGACGATACTACAGACAACCAAAAGCACAAGCCACCCAAAGTAAGTTTATTTGACATTGCAACAGTAATAAGAATGTTCACATAACAGGATATGTTTTGAATGTTAATTGTGCCACAGTTGTGAATGTAAGGAAAGGTAAAATACCATTCATGAACCTATAGTTAATTACATCCTTAAAAACAAAATTTTGAAGGGGCTGGCCCGTGGCTCACTCGGGATAGTGCGGTGCTGCTAACACTAAGGCCACGGGTTCGGATAACTATCATTTTCCTAAGATGTAATTTGTAAAAATTTCTGTAGAATTTATATAGATTGTATTTGGGAAATGAATAGTGTTCTTAAGTAAGTGTTTCTTGAAGTGTTGTCCAAAGACTGACTTGTACCAGTATCACCAAAATGCTTGTTAAAAATGCAAATTATAAGACCCTACCCCAGATAACTAAATCAAAACCAGAGGTGAGAGTGCTCATGGACTCCAAGAATCTGCATTTTTAACAAACAATTCTTTTTTTTTTTTTTTTTGTCCTTTTTGAGACCAGCCGCACTGCACTCAGCCAGTGAGCGCCCCGGTCACCCCCATATAGGATCCAAACCCACGGGCGGGAGCGTTGCTGCGCTCCCAGTGCCGCACTCTCCCGAGTGCACCACAGGCTCAGCCCTTAACAAACAATTCTAATGTACGCTAATATTTGAGAAAAAATACTGTCCTGGATGCTGAATTGCTGACATCAAAGAGTAAAATGTTGATACTTGGATAAATAACGCATTCTTTTATCATTTTGCAGGTTCCCAAAATAAAAGAAGATGATATTGACATGAAGAAGCGGAAGCGAAAAGAGGAAGGTGAAAAGGAGAAAAAGCCAAGGAAAAAAGTACCCAAACAACTGGGGTATGTTAAACCTAAGTGAACTAATGTCACAGAGTGACTGTCCTTTTAGCATGATATATCAACCATTAATTAGTTCAATTTAGCTAGTGTCTAGTTTAATACGTATTTATAAATATTAATGACCCATTAATTTATATTTTAATAATATCACAGTATTTATTAATAAAAGTAAAGCTTTGTCATTTTAGAGACTCGCTTTGTCATTTTAGAGACTCATAGTGTTTTAGATCAAATTCACAGGTTAGTTTATTAAGTATTTTGCTCATTACAAATTTTTACCAAAAGAACCAGTTTGAAAAGATGATATAGGGCTGACCCCGTGGCGCACTCGGGAGAGTGCGGCGCTGGGAGCGCAGTGATGCTCCCGCGGCGGGTTCTGATCCTATATAGGAATGGCCAGTGCGCTCATGAGCGCGGTGTGGGCGACACCACACCAAGGGTTGCGATCCCCTTACCGGTCACGAAAAAGACAAAAAAAAAAAAAAAACATTGAACAAATTATTTTAATCTTTTGGTACTAAAATTAAAGTTAGGGGATTCAAGATTGGCAGTAGCCTGTGTATAAATGATTTATGGTTGTTTTAATATGAACATTTTTATTGATTTTATTTAGCTATTCTTAATGCTTGTGACATTAGGTAACAATATTGCCACTAAAAACCAAATAGAATTTCTCAAAAGCCTTAAGAGAGAAGAATAAAGTATTTGTACCATGCAGTCATAAAGTTACCAATTTCCTCCACTTCTTTATGGCTTTTTTTGCAAAGCTAAGGTAAAGATACTTGTGAGAGGCTGGATTTTCCTACCCTCCTTAGCAAGGGAGGTGCATCTGAATTTTGGGCTATCAGTATCCTAAAGGTTGATGTAGGGAAGTATTTCTTTCCTCCTAAAAATGAGATTATAGTCATTAATTTGACCTAAGTCATTAGGAAATTATTAAGGGAAAAAAATATGTATATTACTAATGGTTGTCTTAAATGTTCATTATTTACAAGTGAACGTCTTTGGGAACATAAGCTACAAGTAATGCCTTTTATTGAATTTATTGTTTTCTCAACTTAATAACTCATTCATTCAACAAATGTTTTTTATGTACCTTCTGTATACCAGGAGGTTTGGGCATATAATAACTGAAATGTGGGCCTGCCTTCAAGGTACTAATAATCTTTCAGTCTGTTGTGCACATAGAAGCATCTAAGCCACAGGATTTAGAAAAGATTTTTTAGAGGAAGTGGTTGCTAAACTTAGATCTTTCCCCATAATTTCTGTAGGGAGAAGGTTGTCATTGAAAATTACACATTACAGTCTGATTGCATAATACCGCTGTTTCTAAAATAGAAAGTGAAAAATGATCAGAAGGTAGTAGCGGATAGGGCTGGCCCATGGCTCACTTGGGAGAGCGTGGTGCTGACAACAGCAAGTCAAGGGTTAACATCCCCTTACCGGTCATCTTTTAATAAAAAAAAAAAAAAGGTAGTAGTGGATAGAATAGGGTCTGGGTAGATGACATGGTCTTGGATAAAGGCTCACAGATTGAGACATTGGATTTTGTATATCTTTGGCAGTTTGTAGCACAAACCGTCTGGGGTGCCAGTTTGACGGTGTACGATGTGGACTTCCCCGGTTATAAGGCAACTCAGTTTTCAGCAAAAGTGCAATTCTTTATTTGGTTAATTTTTTATACTTATACTTTTAATTTTTATGTTATAGATGTGCTAATGAATATGAACATTCCAAAAAGAGTAGTAAAATTAGTATGCTTTGATAAACTTGAGCTAAATTCAGTTTTATTTCCTGTTGACATTATTCCTTTCATTTTCTTCACTGTAATGCCATTTACATATTTGCCTATCATAGGTGGCAATTCAGATGATGCTGGAGAAGATGCTATTGTAAAAGTATAATTTAATAAGAAATTAAGAAGAAAACTTTGCTCTGCCAACTATCAAATTAACCATTTTAATTCTGTGCCTACTTATTTGCACAGGCTTTAACCTTTAGAACCATGTGTAGCATAACTGATCATTGTTTTCTTCACAGAGTTGTGGCTCTAAATTCACACAAGTCTGAAAAAAAGAAGAAACGTTACAAAGATTCTCTTTCTCTAGCAGCCATGATACGAAAATTTCAGAAAGAGAAGGATGCATTAAAAAAGGAGTCTAACCCCAAAGTCCCAGTGACCTTATCGACCTCCTCTCTGAATAAACCCCCTTCTGCTGCAGCATTGGGGAATGATGTCCCAGACTTAAATCTGAACAGTGCTGATCCAGACCTCCCCATTTTTGTTAGCACAAATGAACATGAACTGTTTCAGGATGCTGAAAATGCCCTAGAGATGCTAGATGATTTCGACTTTGAGAGATTACTGGATGCTGCTTCTGATGGTAGCCCCCTGTCTGAGTCAGGGGGAGAAAATGGAACCACCACCCAGCCAACCTACTCCTCTCAGGTTATGCCCAAGGTGGTACCTACACTCCCAGAGGGTCTACCTGTTCTTCTTGAAAAACGTATTGAGGACCTTCGTGTAGTAAGTATAATTCTTTTGGTTGTTATTTCCTGCACAGATGCAACAATAAATGCTTTTAAAGAAAAATAATAATAATGATAATAACCTGTAGACTCAACACCCTTTGAAAAACAGTTTTATTTTCTGTATTTCCTTTCAGGCATTGACTATATGTATACATAGGCCTTTTATTTTAAATAGAAATAACTATAGTTATAACACGGATACAGTTGATTCTTTTATTATTTCAGTTCACCTTATAAATAAATATTTTTCTGTGTAGGTTTTATAAATACAATTTTTATTAGCTACATAATCATGTAAAGGAAATAGAGCAAAGAAAGGAGCAACTAGCGACATTGCAGAAGTGTACCTGAACTTGGTCCACACTATGTTGACATCTAGTTATTTTATAATCTGTTTTTTCCAGCTAATTGGCAGTTTTAGTAAGCATGCATTGGTTTCCCACTAGGACAAACATTAGAGTTGAGCTTGTAGCCTGTCACAATGTATTACTCTCCAGATCAACTTGGATTCATAATCTTCATTTGTTTAACTAGCTGCAAATCCAGTTATGTCTCACACATCTCCTTTTCACCTCAGGGAGATCATATTTTGTCTTAAAATATGCCAAACCTAGCTCAATGTGCCCTTTTTCATAACTTCAGCCAGTTTGTCTGAACATAGACCATATTTTAGTTGTTTTTTTCCCTGATTACAAAAGTAATACAAGCAATACAGAATATATTTCATACTTAGGGAAAGATCCCAACATCCGACATTCCCTATCTCCAGCAGAGATAACCACTGTTAAATTTTTCTGGATTTTAATCCAGGCATGTGCAAATATATTATTATTAAAATAATTGTTAATGGGATTGTAATGTATGGACTGTTCTACATCCTGCTTTTTTCTCCTAGGATTTCTCCATTTAAATCACATTTTAAAATTTGTTGATTATCTCCATGTTACATTTCTCTTAACTCTTTCCAAATTTTAAACATTTGATTGGGGGGCAAGAGATTTATCTAAGTTTTTCAGTAACTGGCTCATGGATTTTATTTACCAATTCTGTTCTTATGGGTTTTTTTGTTCTTTAGTGTTTCATCTGAGGTTATGATTTACTAATTAATTCCTCTATGTTTTTACTTATTTTAATTTATCTCATCAGTCCAAGACTTAGAGAAGTGTGTTAAAGTATCTTATTGCCAGTGTTTCTTTTAGTTACAACTCATGTTTATCATAGTTTTTGCAGTTTATTTCTATGCTGTGTCGTTTGCTTCATAAGATTCTTGATGGTTGTATCTTCACTGTGATGGTTATCATTTGGTGACCCTTTTTGTCCTATTAATGCTTTTCACCTTGAATTTAATTTTGTCTGGTTTTACTGTAGACTCTTTTTCTTTATTTTTCCACTGTATGGCTTTTCCCAACATTTACCTTCAGCCTTTTGGAATTCCTTGATTTTAGCTGTTTCTTTATAGATAATATGTGAGTGAATACTTGTTTATTGACCTAATCCAAGATTTTTTCCTTTAACAAATGATTTTATCTGATCTACAGTTGTTAAATTATAGAATTGATCTTTATTGCATTTTCTTTTATATTCTGTTTTATTGCTCCTCCCCTTCTTTGTTTTCATTCCTTTGCTATTTTCTGTGCTTATTTTTTTAAGCATATAATCTGTTTATACTTCCGTTAATCAGATAGATTTCTAGTTTAATCTTTTCAACAACTCTGTATGAGGTGTAGGTATTATTTCCTTTTTATGGTTAAGAAACTTAAGTGGAGAAGGGTTAAGTAACTTGGTCAAGGCCACACACCTAGTAAGCGGTAGAGCCAGAATTTAAACACTAGGATTCACCTGACTCCAAAGTATATGCTTTCTGCTATCCCACATTGCTTCACCCCTAAAATCTTTAGTTTCTTTTGGTTTTTAAAAACTACTAGTGATGTGATTCATGTTTTTTAAGGTATAATTAATAATGATAGCTATTGATTATTTAGCAAAAATTGATACTGTGTATTGGGTGTGGTATTGCTGTGTCCTGCACTTCACAAGGCCCCATTTACCTCTTTAAAAACAATGGCCCTGACTGAGTTTGATATGTTTTACATACCACACAGTCTAATCCTATCAACAATAATGCAAGCTTAGATAGTGTTTCTCCCATTTAATAGATGAGGGAAACAAGGTTCAAGAAGTTTAAATGATTTGTCCAAGGACACATAATTTTTAAGTGGCCAAGCCAGGATTCTGAATCAGGATTTAAACTCAGGACTGTGGAGCTCCAAAGCTTGCACTCTTTCTACTATGTTATGTTTATTCTCACTTCATAAATAAAATTGGTTAGTAATTAGTGTGTTTTAATATCGTAAGGCTCTGTCATATCTCATATCAAAAATGACATTTGTCTCTTTAGTAGCCAAGTGAGGATTAATATAGCTTCTTCCAGGGCCGAGCCCGTGGCGCACTCGGGAGAGTGCGGCGCTGGGTGCGCAGCAGCACTCCTGCCGCGGGTTTGGATCCTATATAGGGATGACCGGTGTGCTCACTGGCTGAGCATGGTGTGGCCGGTCTCAAAAAGGACAAAAAAAAAAAAATATATATATATATATATATAGCTTCTTCCTAACCCCTTGGTAGGAAATTATTAGCAATAAGATTGATTTCACATACTGATAACTGTGAATTCTCCATACTTTTCTTTGAAATATGAGATGGTGCTTTTTTTTTTCGGGAGATGAGAATTCATCTTCAGCTAACATGCTCATGTCTGTCTGATAAGCAGTTTCTTCATGTTGCTCTTTTCTCACTTTGTAGCATTCTTCCACTATTCAACCTTTTGACTTTTTTATTAAAAAAAACTTTTAAAAAATTTATTTTAATAGGGGCTGGCCAGTTAGCTCTGTTGGTTAGAGTGCAGTGTTATAACACACGTTGATGGGGTACGGTCTGATGATGTTTTGATACATACTAACTGGCCAGCCCAGAACTTTCAACTATTGTACTTTTCAGCTGTAGAATTTCTATTTGGTTCTTTTTATTATTTTCATTTCTCTTTTGAGATTCCCTACCTGTTCACTTCGTAATAACATACTTTCATTAAGTTCCTTAAAAATGATATGGGTTGGGCCGGCCCGGTGGCACACTGCTACAGTGCGCCGCTTGGGAGCGCGGTGGCGCTCCCGCCGAGGGTTCGGATCCCACATACAGACCGGTTCCCACTCACTGGCTGAGCGAGGTGCGGGCGCAGCACCGAGGGTTGCGATCCCGTTGCCGGTCCCAGTCCAGTACGGGCATGACACTGAGGGTTGCGATCCGTTGCCGGACACGAAAAAAGACAAAAAGGAAAAAAAAAAATGATATGGGTTGAATGTTGCCTCCAAAGTTCATGTTGAAGCTTAATTCTCAATATGGTATATGAAAGGTGGGGCCTTTAAGAGGTGATCAGACTATGAGGACTTGCCCTCATGAATAGATTAACACATTCATGGGTTAATAGGTTATCATGGGAGGAGACTGTTGGCTTTATAAGGAGAGAGAGAAGCATGCTAGTGCGCTTTTACCCATTCTTCATGTGATACTCCACACCACCTCGGGACTCTGCAGAGAGTCCCCACCAAGAAGAAAGCCCTCACCAGCTGTGCCCCTTGACCTTGGATTTCTCAGCCTCCCAAAATGTAAGAAATAAATTTATTTCTTTATAAGTTATCCAGTTTCAGGTATTCTGTTGTAAGTCACAGAAAATGTACTAATACAAAGCATATGCCTTACTAACTCTGGAACATATTCTTAATAGCTGCTTTGAAGTCTTTGTCTGTTAAATCCAATATTTGGGCCCACTCCAATTCAGTTCCTATTTACTAATTTTCTTTTTCCTGAGTGCTTCTTTTTCACTTCCCTGATTCTTTGCATGTCTAGTTATTTTTGGTTTAAAACTGGACATTGTAGCAATGTGTTATACCCACTCTGGATTTTTAAAAATTAATTATTACTATTATCATTATTTTACATTCTAAGATGTTGTTGTGGAGCAGATGGGGGAGGGGGAGAGGGTAAAAGAGAGGATGATAGGGTTGGAGGGGTGGTGTGGTCGAGGCCCATGGCACACCCCTCATTCCTGCAGGGGAGACAAGGGGGCTTCCAGTGGTGGCTCAGTCGTTGCTGGGCTGGGTGCAGATGTCAGGGGGGTATGGTTGAAGCCCTTGACCCCCCACAGCACCGGCTTGGGAGACCAAGGGGCTTCCAGTGATGGCTCACTGGTCATCACTTGGCTTGTTGCAGATGTCAGGGAGGTGTGGTTGAGGCTCTTGGTCCCCCAGCACCCCAGCTCAGGAGCCTGGGGTGCTTCCTGTGGTAGCCTGGTGATCATTGCTGGGCTGTTTGTGGATTTCAGGGGCATGGCTAAGGCCTTTGGCCCTCTCTGCTTCCCGGCGTGGGAGCCCAGGGGGCTTCCAGTCCTTCTAGGTTTTATAGGTGTTCTTTGATTATGTGAGACCTTTACTAGTTAACACCAGAACTTTGTCTCTGAACTGTGGGTGTTTTGTTTTTTCTTTCAGTTCTGTGTTGGGTTATTTGCTGTTCCCACCACTTAAACTCTACACTGGAACTAATTTGTTGTCCTTTTATTTACTTCTAAAATTGAGGAACTTCCTGTAGGGACCAGCATTTGAGCCCTGTAGTTGAGCCAAATTGCTGCTTTGCTGCTGATTCCCTGGGGAAGGCTTTTTGTGCAGCTCAGGTTTTAATTGTTGACTTCCAGGTCTTGTGAGATCTGATACACTTGGGTTGTGTGGAAACTCTGGTCTGGGCCTGAGACTTTTCAGCAAACTGCACCCCCTGCAGATCTGTATTCCTGACCAGTTTCCACTGAGTGGTCCTGCACTGATTGAAGGGGGCGGGAGGCTGATAAGCTGGCCATGTCATGCCCCAATGTTCCCATGGTGGGCCCATCTTCCCCACTGCCCATACTGCAAACATTTCCCATGGGACGGGCTTTGTGCTGGTCCCTTGTGA